ATCACAGGTTCGGGCCCCGCTGACGGTGACGCTGCAGTTACTGAGGCTGAGGGCCCGGTGGACGCCAAACTCTCGCCTCTACCGTCTTCGGAAGAGCGACACGTGAGCTTCGAGGAAGATGGCGGGGTGCCGGGAGAGGAGGGTCCGCCCAAGAAGAAGATGAACGCCAGGGAACGATGGTACTGGGCCTTCGACAAGATCGTCGGTCAACTTAATGTGAGTACACGATCTCTCTCTCTCTCGGAGTGCCCTTGTGAGTTGCAGAGTAATCTTCTGGGCTTAAATACAAATACCGGGAAACATTTTACTCAGGCTTAAAAGTTATTGCGTGTACAAAGAATATTGCAGTGTAGTTCGAAGCTGTCCTGGTACAACCCTCGAAACTGCTCACAGACAAGGAAAACAATCTTAAGTTGATTTATGAGATTTAAATCCTATCGACTACACAAGTGTTAAGGCTGCCTATCACATACACCACGAGTATATACCCTGAGATATCTCTCCTTGTATATACTTTTATGAGTTAGTGATTCAGGTTCTGGATCTGAAGGAACTGATATAAGTATATTTTAATGTATACAGGAGCTGTTTTTCGTATATAAGACAATGAAGTGTGTCCACACATAAATAAACAAGAAGGAAGCATAATCATAATGATATCGTTTTGACAATAGCGATTTTGTTGAATATTTTTTTGGGTACTTAAAAGGGACGGATCATAAGCTTAATTTCCTAAATTAAAAGTTATGCCTTTTTTTGAGAGAAGTTATAAGAGGTATACGAGGCTCAGTTATCCTCGGAGCATTAACTAAACTATTTCGCAACTTTCACTATTTTAAGATTTTGAGTCTTATAACTCACAAGGGTATTCCAATGACTTTTTTTCATCGTCTTTGATTATGAAGATTTATTTTTAATGAATTTAGGCTTGTATTTAAGCAGCTAAAATATGAAGTAATCACAGGGAAATTTTAAACCGATTCTTTTTTATTCGTAACTCAGTCCCTAATCAGAGACGATCCATTATTTTATGTATGTTCATTATTATTGTTCATTGTACTGTATTGCTGACCACTGTTTACTAGGATATTATATCAGTAATAAAAATGTTAGCCTGGGCGACGAAAGGTAAGTTAGAAAATGGCTGCAGATATTGTATTTGGAAAGTGGTAGACTTTTATTTATATTAAAAAACACAGTGAATCATTGTCTGCAGTTAGTGTGTAAACATCATGGAATTTACGTTCATAAAAAGTGCTAAAAACAAGCAAGGAAAATGCCTAAATTATATGAGAAGCAAAGCTTACAGCCTAGTGCCACCCCTCAAGGAAGGTTCCTTGATGTTGGTGAGGGGCTCTTGATTTAGGGAATTGGATCTGTGCTCCAGTTCCCCGAATTAAGCCTGAATGCCTTCCACATCCCCCCTCAGGCGCTGTATAATCCTTTGGGTTTAGCGCTTCTCCCTTGATTATAATAACAATAATAATCAGCCTAGTGCCAGCTTCAACCTTCTTGGCAATATCGTCTTCATTTCAGGCTGAGTTGAAATCAAACTAATGTTAAGCGCGAGAGTTTCCCTGTCTCCTAATATCATGTTTATTTTCCCCCATATAATCTACCTTGTTCATAATTACTACCTCATTTGCTTTGTCTGTTTTCGTAAGGTGAAGTCCAGGATCTGTCCTTAATTCATGGTATAACTTAACAAATCTTTGAGGACAATTGTGTTGCACAGATCTGAGCTGTGCTCAGACCTTACGAAAACAGACAAAGCAAATGAGATAGTAATTATGAACAAGGTAGATTATAGGGGAAAAATAACATTATTAGAAGACAGGGTAATTGAAGTGCCCCTTAAAGGAAGCCAGATCACACACATGTATAATGCACAAACTCTTGATATTGAAATATGTAAGAAAATTTCCGTAGGCTTGTCAGCCTGTCAGCCGGACGTATGGAACTCGTCATGCATTAGGTCGGAGATTAAAGGTTTTACCTTGCATGACGGCCAGAAAATACCACCAACGTGATAAGTTATGCAGACATATGTTATTGTCTTGTGTCGAGTCAGGATGGGACATCTAGCAACCTAACTTCGATCCAGGACTAGCACTTGTCCTGAGTCGTCTGGACTCTCTTGTTAATCACAAACCTGTCTTTTTCACGTATTTGTCGGTGTAAATCAAGCCAAAATTTTGGCGTATTCGTTTCATTTCGACGTGTAAATATAATAGATGAAAATTGGGACAGATTTACACCGGATTTAAATTTTCGCCTGATGTGCTGTTTACATTAATATTATTGCAAAATGGATTTAATCCAACCTTATTAAAAGCTATTTTGTTAGATTCAAGGTTTGTCAACTATACGAAGGTCATTGGTTTTAAAATCTACTCAGACTTTATCAAGGATACTTGAATCCCTAAGGTTGGGATTTACCTAAATTATCAGTGTATACCGTATTATTCGGCATGTAAGACCCACTTTTTTCCCCACAGAAAGTTTGAAAATGAACCTGCGCCTTATATGCTCAAGGTCAGGGTCAAGGCTTTAGCAGTTGTTTACTAACATTGAGTTACAAATGCTTGGAAACAGTCTCACATTAACGTGCGTCTTATATGCCGGAAAATACGGTATACACTGATATATGAATTAGATTTAAGTCTTAATGAACTACTAAATGAGTAAAGAGAAAGACGGGGGGAGGGGCGCTTGAACCGTGGTCCTGGGATTGGCAGGTCCAACGTAGCTCAGTGGTAAAGCGTTGGACCTGACAGTCCCAGGATCACTGTGCAAGCACCCCGTCCAACTTTTTGCTTATTCGCACTGATATACGTGAAAGTGAAGAGCATGTGCACACTGGTGATAAGTTTGCGCAGGTGTGAGGATAAAAAGGTGATAGAAATTCTCTTGGTGCCAAAATAGGTTGTTATTGGAGTAGTAGTTGTAGTATTAGTAATAGTGTGTGCTCACCTATATGTGGTTGCAGGGGTCGAGTCACAGTGTGTGTGTGTTCATCTTCAACATGTATTGATTACAACACTCACCCGAGGCCATGTTTATGTCATGTTACTGATACAGATGTTGCAAGAATAGGTGGCTGGGAGAAGTGTATGTCGTCTTGTTTTCAGGGCAAATGTCAGGCAGAGTATTGTTTTGAGGTCAGGGGTCAAACACTGTCTTGTTTGCAGGTCAGGGGTCAAACACTGTCTTGTTTGCAGGTCAGGGGTCAAACACTGTCTTGTTTGCAGGTCAGGGGTCAAACATTGTATTGTTTGCAGGTCAGGGGTCAAACATTGTATTGTTTGCAAGTCTGGGGTCAAACACTGTCTTGTTTGCAGGTCAGATGTCAGTCAGTATTGGTTAGGGCGATCAAGAGTTTTCAAAGCGAAGATGGGATTTTGAAGTTGAAATTGAAATTCCGAGATATATATATATATATATATATATATTATATATATATATATATATATATTTATATATATATATATATATATGTATATATATATATATATATATATATATATATATATATATATATATATATATATTATATATATATATATATATACACACACACTTTGATGGGACACGACCTTACTGGTCGTTTCCCATAAAAGTTGGGTGACCCAATGAAAGAAACACATTCACCAGTATTCGGTCAGTAGCTGCCTTGCCATCAGTGCTTGGAAGTCACCATTCAGTGGCCCTCTGAGCTGCGACATAATAAAGTGCCTCACGAAATCGTAATGACACGAATGGAAACGAATTGCGGAGCGAGTGAGACGTGTACCCATGGCGAGTTAGTTTTAAAACTCACTTGCCATAGGTTCAAATCCCACCCGTTCCGTGATTCTGTATATTAAAGCTGATAAATGAGACACTTGTGTAACATTTGGGTATCTTTATTCTGGAAACGTTTCGCCAGCCAATAGCTTCTTCAGTCCAATGCAGAAGAAAGTGGAAGATGAGGAGGAGCTTGAGGTAATCAGTCCCTCAGCCTGGAGTCGATGTGTTCAATCCATCCATCTTGACTTTCGTCAAAATTGAGGGACTGATTACCTCAAACTCCTCATCTTCCACCTGTCTCTCCCCTGGACTGAAGAAGCCACTGGCTGGCGAAACGTTTCCAGAATAAAGATACCCAAATGTTGCACAAGTTTCTCATTTATCAACTTGTAGGCTTTCTAAACCATTTATTCGCATATATTAAAAGGAAATGAGAATTTGTATTGGTGAAAGTACCTTTGTAGTGCACTGGTGAACGTTCGTCTTTATTCCAGAGGTGCCAGGTAGTGGAGGTAGAATTTGTGAGGTAAAGAAAATGTTCTGAAATACAACTGGTATATTTTAAACCTTTATTGTTCATTCCATACCATCCTGTACGTGGTAGTTAAAAGATGCTACCATCCTGTACGTGGTAGTTAAAAGATGCTTCCATCCTGTACGTGGTAGTTAAAAGATGCTACCATCCTGTACGTGGTAGTTAAAAGATGCTACCATCCTGTACGTGGTAGTTAAAAGATGCTTCCATCCTGTACGTGGTAGTTAAAAGATGCTACCATCCTGTACGTGGTAGTTAAAAGATGCTACCATCCTGTACGTGGTAGTTAAAAGATGCTACCATCCTGTACGTGGTAGTTAAAGGATGCTACCATCCTGTACGTGGTAGTTAAAAGATGCTACCATCCTGTACGTGGTAGTTAAAAGATGCTACCATCCTGTACGTGGTAGTTAAAAGATGCTACCATCCTGTACGTGGTAGTTAAAAGATGCTACCATCCTGTACGTGGTAGTTAAAAGATGCTACCATCCTGTACGTGGTAGTTAAAAGATGCTACCATCCTGTACGTGGTAGTTAAAAGATGCTACCATCCTGTACGTGGTAGTTAAAAGATGCTACCATCCTGTACGTGGTAGTTAAAAGATGCTACCATCCTGTACGTGGTAGTTAAAAGATGCTACCATCCTGTACGTGGTAGTTAAAGGATGCTACCATCCTGTACGTGGTAGTTAAAAGATGCTACCATCCTGTACGTGGTAGTTAAAAGATGCTACCATCCTGTACGTGGTAGTTAAAAGATGCTACCATCCTGTACGTGGTAGTTAAAAGATGCTACCATCCTGTACGTGGTAGTTAAAAGATGCTACCATCCTGTACGTGGTAGTTAAAAGATGCTACCATCCTGTACGTGGTAGTTAAAAGATGCTACCATCCTGTACGTGGTAGTTAAAAGATGCTACCATCCTGTACGTGGTAGTTAAAAGATGCTACCATCCTGTACGTGGTAGTTAAAAGATGCTACCATCCTGTACGTGGTAGTT